CACATCTCATACCACAAATGTTGGAGTAGGAGTATCTGTTTGCTTTCCTTAGCTGCCGAGCTCAGAAGAGTTTCCTCACTAATCACAATAGTATTAAAAACAAACCATAATTTCCCAAAATTTTCTCATTTTTTTCACTTTACCACACTAAACGCAACTCCTCCAAAAACACACAAGAAATGATACCACAATACCATCACTCAAAGCAATCCTCATGATCGTGATTTTTCTATCCAATATCCCACTTTATGAGACTAGTTCTCCATCATCCACCATCATGTCTCCTACGATTTCGACTACGTCTACCACTCCTCCCGGAATCATCAGCAATAGCAAGGCGCTTCAAACCGTTACCCAACGCCTCCACAGAGGACTGCCAAAATTCACTTGCAGCACTCCATAAATGTAAACTGAAAATCAGTGGAGTTTCACCCGTAATATGAAAAAACACTTCACGAAAAACGCGTAAAACGCGTAAAATGCTGCCAGTTTTTTCACGGAAAATAGGGCGATCTGTCCGCTGTGATTCCCGAAGTGTTTTCAAAAAAATATCGTGTTTTTCACATGGAGTATTACGCCACCTCACGTAAAACGGGTGAAACTTCAATGTTAAAAAATATGTTCGATTTCCTCACTAATCAGAGAAGTTTACATTCAACTTCGTTTAGTAGTGTAGAAAAAAAATCAATAAAATTTCTTCAAATTTCCTCAGAATTTCCATATTGTCACCAACAGCATATTTTCCCACGCTACAGAAGACGACTATACAAAAACCAAAACCGTACTAAACTTACATGGGGCCATCTCCCGAAGTTGTACCACACCATCTCGAAGTTTCCCTCCGTGCAAACGACCGGCATTCAGTGCATCTCGACCCGCTCAGCTCAGATGAGAAACATCTACGAACGTAACACATATACTGGACTTTCACGACCCGTTTTACGTGAGGTGGCGTAAAACTCGGTGAAAAACGCGGTGATATGCAGTAGTCGTGAAATATGTTATCACTAGTGTTTTTCATATCACTAGGGTGAAACTCCATTATATTTTATAAATAGAGTTTCACCCGTGATATGAAAAAACACTAGTGAAAAACCATATTTCACATTTCACTTAAGGAAAAACGCATGTAAACAGTGATATGGGGTAACCGGCGTAATTCACTTCATATCGCGTTTTTCATATGAAATATGACGCCATTGATAAACACCAGTGTAATATGAATACTAGTGAATATTTTTTTCATTTCCATACCTAATTTTTTCCGTCTCATAAAAATGTAAATTTTCGAAATTTATCAGAAAAAAATACTAATCCTTTCCCCTCCACCTGTGGGATACTACCTAGGGCAAGTATTTCCACGTTGATGAGGGTCTGGTAATCGATCACCATCGCGACCATTCGAGAGTGATCGCATAAGTTGCCCTTCAGCACAACATAGTCTATGCATATAGTCTACTGTTCGCTCCGCAGAGAAGGAAGAACTCGTGGGATCGATCACATCATTCGTTGACCTGAATATCCACAGGTTGAGACGGTAAGATACGAAATAGGTCCGGAAAATACCACATTATGAACACTAACGAGAAATATATTCCACGACTACTGCATATCGCATACGTGAAGTGACTTCACGTAAAACGGGGGAAACTCCAACGATGCATTAAAAGAGTAACGAACTAATTCTAGTAGAAAAAAATTCACCACTTCCAACACTCATACCTCCACAACACGATTGTCCATCAAATACGGTATATGAATACGAAAGCAATGCCAGAAATTCTCACTGAAAGTAAATGTGCATTTTACTGAATTTTCTATTCTAGTGAAATTTTATGCATTTTTATCCAAAAATAGTCCCAATTTTCGTCGAATTTTATACCATAACATCGATAAAATGAGTTATCACACTACCTAATAGGAGAAAATTCTTATTATTTTTCCTCCAAAATTTATGTTTATTCTGAAAAAAAATATATAATTAAATTGGAGAAAATTTAGATTTCAATTACTGAAAAAACTCTACTATAAATTTTATATATTTTTACCAGAAATACGCCAATTTTTCTCCAATTTTTCTGCAACAAAATAGATTACAATATCAAGCTCTCCCATTCTTCCCAAAGCCCGGCCAACTCACCCCGTGCTGCTCCTCCCCTCCACTTCCCCCCACAGAAACTCCAACATACTACCATTCGCCGGCCCTGCTCCCCATTTTGGTGTACACTCATCATCATCATCATCCGAACATGACGACTCTGTCTCCTCTGATGATACCATTTCCGTGGCCCATTGCTTCACCCGCCACAACGTAAGGTTCTCCTCCTCCTCCTCTACTACTGGTAAGCTGACTATCTCCTCCATTTCCACACCGAAATCCGAGGCCAAGCTGATGACCTCATCATTATTCCCACTATCTACAGTCACCACCGGTTCGTGCATTTCTTCAACTGCACTACTACCACGCTTCTTACGCTTCCTGAAACAACGAAGTTTCACCCTAGTGATAGTAAAAGGTATATTTTACAAACAACTGCATAGCTCTAAAATCGTGTTTTTCGCCACTTCACGGAAAACGGTTGAAATACTCCTTTATCAATTTCGCATATCCATAAAAAATCCCCAAAAATTTTTCTCAAATTTTCACACAATTCGCCATTATTACCTTTTGCGTCTACGACGTCGTTTTCCCCCACTCTGCATCTCCACAGAGTTCTCCTTATCCTCACCACAATACGGTG